AAAAAAGCTGCCGAGAGGAGTGATACGGACAATGGTGATGATTTTTTTCACTTCAAAGTGGCTTTGTGTACCATTACGCTTTTGTTATGTTAATTGGGTTAAACATATCTACTATTACCATCAAAAAAAAAAAAAAAAAAAAAAAAAAGGTCTTTCGCACTTCATTTCATTTCGGGTAGATAATCGGATTGTATTTCAATTACTTAGTATTTCTATTTATAGCATCTCGAAAGAAACGCAAGAACCTCTCTTCTCTCTTTCCCTTCCTACTCATTTCCTGCCGGCTCTATTTCATTTTGGGTATAGATAATGGATCGTATTTTATTTACGTATTTTCTATCTGTACATCTCGAAAGAGACGTGAGAGAATCTATCTTATTTTTTTTCTCTCGTTCTCTCTCTTTCCCTTCCCACTCATTTCCATCACCTCCTTTTCCTTGCAGGAAGTGCCAGGCCCGCTCCCCTAGCGAACAGAAAACGGAGGGAGGCATACATACCATCTTGGCAAGCCCCTTGGGAGCCGGTATCGACTTGCCTACCAAAAGGAGAAAGAAACGGACCGAACTCGGTGCTCGGAGAGCGGGCCGGCTAGAAATACGCGTAGCGTGTCCGAGGAGAGAACAAACGAGGAAACCCGTCAGGCCTCGTCGACATCTAATAAGACCCGTCAGCACAACAATCACCTTCATCTCGAACATTGGGCCTTTCCTCTACAAGACGGTAGATCCTATGATTAATGCATTCGTCTCATTCCATGACAATTCGATCCCATGACCTGTCGTTTGCTAACCGTCAAAAGAGTTCTGTAACACTCATCCTCATGGACCAGGTATGTAGGGGTAGGGTAGGGTACATTGTTGTTTGACAGGATGAAATTAAAATAAAGGGGTACGGCCTTGAGGTATCACCGTCGAACTGACCGGTCCCAGGTGGTTATCAGCAGTTCATGGGTGGACTGCGGGAGGATCATGTTCTGTTTTTTTTGTTTTTTTTTTCTCCTCCTCGTTCTTCTTCTTTTTTCTCTCTCTCCCTCTTCTTCTTCTTCCTTCTTTGTTTCTTCTGTGTCTATTTGGTCTCCTTTCTCCCTCCTTTTCAACGGGCGACGGCCTTGAGATATCATTGTGGAAGTGATCGGCCCAAATTCATTTTAACTAGTTCCGTCTGGTGGATTCCGAGCTCATGTCTGTATTTCAAAAGTTCCTGGGGTGTACCAACTGAGCTAGGCCCGTCGGTAGGATCATGAACTTCGCCGACGCCCACTCCTCTTTTTTATTCACGTACATTGGGACCAATGAGGGGCGTTCTCAACTTTGTCGTTAACTGGGACCATTACCCATCTTCGTTCGGCTAAGCATGCGCGGCGTTCTGGTCGCTATCCCGACCGACACAAGCAAAAAAAAATCGGTTACACTCGGCGCATTTGCCCCAATTTACGTACGGAAAAAGGGGTACCACCATACATTGCGCCGTTGCATCGCCGTCACTCTCCGTACATTCTCCAAGCAGCTTGAGTGTTGCTTTCTCTGGCCATCACGTTCGGCAGCTACTGCGGTATGTGATCACGAATGCATGTCATCGCTATTTCTCTGTCTTTTTTCCACCTCCCCCTCCTCGTCTTCTTCTCTCAACCTGCCTCCTTGCCTGCCCGCGGTATGTGATTCCGAACGCATGTCATCGCTATTTCTGTGTCTTTTTTCCACCTCCCCCTCCTCGTCTTCTTCTCTCAACCTGCCTGCTTGCCTGTCCGCTGTATGTGATCACGACTGCATGCCATCGCTATTTCTACGTCTTTTTTCCACCTCCCCCTCCTCGTCTTCTTCTCTGAACCTGTCTGCTTGCCTGACCGCGGTACGTGATTCAGAATGCACGTCATCGCTATTCTCTCCCTTTTCCACCTCCTCGTCTTCTCTCTCGACCTGCCTGCCTGCTTGCCTGCCTACCTTCCTGCACGATCGCTCTCATCTCACAGTCCCTATCGAACGAATCGTGTGCCAAAGTCAGGCTCGACGTTACCTGGATGTCTGCCGAATGTCCGGTCACGCGTTCGCGTGCTCCTCTGTTTATAGGTGTTCGAGATCGGTAACCTTCAGTTTATGGTGTTGAATCAGTCTTTATGGGTTTCCTGCCGCGCTTAGACCCACGAAATTCCGCTTTTTCGTCATTACCGATTCTCATGCGGAGGAAAAGTCCGAAGGAGAATGCATCGGTGAGGGACAAGACGCACAAGTAAAATGAGGGGGAGAGTGGCATAGAGGGAAGGAGGAGGACAAGAAGAGGAACGGACAGGCAACACAGAAAGTCACGGAGGCAAGGACAGCGGAAGACACAGCAGATCAGTTTCTGAGCTGCCGAGATAAATACACAGAGAGAACAGGGAACGAAAACGAAGACAGAGAAGGAAGACTAGTAAGGTGGAGACTAGAGAGGGAACGAGACTCCTGGAACCCAAGGACAGCGGAAGACACAGCAAAGCAGTTTTCTGAGCTACCGAGATGAACACAGAGAACAGGGAATGAAAACGAAGACACAGAAGGAAGACTGGTAAGGTGGAGACTAGAGAGGGAGCGAGACTCCTGGAACCCAGTGAAAGGGGCAAGTAAGAGAGAGATGTAGATCTGTGCCGTTGGATGATTAGACACGAGGAGAGAAAGGTGCAAGACGAGGAAGCGCAGAGAATTTTGTGTCGGTCGAGGACAATTACTGTACTTATCGAAGGGAAAAGTAAGGCGAGAACAAATGGCAATATAGTATTATATGGGCGGCGAAGGAGACAAAAGGAACATGTTGAAAGTAGTACAATCACAGTTTGAGAATTGCACTGATGTCAATGCCGGCCGAATATGCTGTCCTTCAGAAGTGACTTGCTTTCTTCGGCTGCTCCAGCCACGTTTATTGTTATTTGTCCTTGCCTCGAGCTATTTCTCCTTGCCTCGAGCTATTTGTCCTTGCCTCGAGCTATTTGTCCTTGCCTCGAGCGGGCGGACACCACCTACCTATACGCCTATACGGCATGTTCTTCGTCGAATCGCTTTTGGAAGAACAGTGGAGAAGCAGACCACCAACAAGCATGAACAGAAGAAGTTTGCATCGTTCCCAACAAGACCATTCCCACATTTCCTCTCTCAACCCACATTCTCGAAATCAACTTCTCCTCCTCCTCCNCCCCCCCCCCCCCCCCCCCCCCCCCCCCCCCCCCCCCTCTCTTCTTCTCCCAGTCCTCTCCTCATCCCGCCCTCTCTTCGCCCCCTGCACCTGGCATTCAAATCTTCGCCTCGTTTACGCCGTCCCTACGTAGTCTCTCTTCCCCCCATAATACGTCATCGAGCAGCCACCATCCCTCTTCGTCCACTCTTCTTCGTCGCCAAACTGCTGACGCATGCAAGATCAGCAGGAACGAGACAAGAAACAAAGGGAAGCAGAACACGTTGCACACCACAAAGAGAAGGCGGCAGCGGGCAAGGGAGCGCGGACGAGGACGGCGAGGCGACAAAGAGGAGGGCAACGAGAATAGGAAGCGAAGGTGGACACCAGCAGCACTAGGAGGAGGAGGAGGAGGAAAACAGGAGGGAGAAACCCAAGCAGGACATGAATAACCGGCTTACCTGTGGTGCGACTTGCTCCTCGCCGCAAGAAGAGAAGAAAGAGCCGACAACTTAGAACGAACGGCGGCAGGAGGACGATGAGCAGGACTGTTACAAAGTGAGGAGGCGGAGGGGGTGGAAGAGGACGGAAAGAACGGATGCTGCTCGGACAACGAGAGGAAGCATGTGATTCAAAACAACGCCGCGAAGGGTTTCCCTTCAGGCCCGTAACCTCTGCCCGTGGGCTACCGTGGCGTACACCAAGATCCTCGGGGGCAAGAAGTCTAGAGAACGGACGGGAAGGGAGTGGGCAGGGCGGGGAGAAGAGGAAGAACAGAAGGAAGAAGACGAAGTACAACAAGGGGACGAAAGTAAGGAGGACAGAGAGGCGAATATACGGGTGGGAGGGGGAAGGGGGGGGGAGGGGGGGATGATAACGAGGAGGGACAGGAATGGAACAGGAGGAAAAGGGAGGAGGAGAGGAAGGAGGTGGTGGATTTACGTGGGATGGATGGCCGTTGCCCGAGAACCAACCAGGGCGAGAAGGCGACACGAAAGGGGAAGTCGACGAATGTGATGACAAGTGAGCGGAGATGGAGGAGGTAGCGAAAACAAGAAACGTGACGTGGAGGACGGGCACGTTCGGTCGAAGCGAACGAGAACCGCTACCGCTCATACCGCTAAAGGGTACGAGCTGCCGCTGATTGTGCAGCCCCGCCGTGCAAAACAATTACATTATCATCGGCAGCAGCGGTGGTCGCTGACATCGAATCCTTCCACCAAACGTTATTCACCTCCTCCTTTTCACCATTCCATCCCCTCCTCGGTGTCCCCCTAGCCCTGTTCTTTCCCCCGCGTCGCTCCCCCCCTCTCCCCTCCTCCTCGTCCCCTGGACCTTCCACCAAAATTGTCTACCACCACGGTCGCCTTACCTCGTCTTCACACGTCATAATCTCCCACCATTATGTTTTTATTTTTTTTTTGGAGGCCAATTCTTTTAAGCCCAACCAATTCAATTACTTGTCAAATCTGGACAGGACGGCCTTTCAGGCCTTTTTCATTGTCATTATAGTATTACGGGGAACCTCGTAGCAGCCAGCCACATCCGTCAACCTTCTTTTTTTTTAGAATATAATAATAAAACGAACAAGAATAATTATTAAAATTAAAATGTAGTAAAGGGAACAAGAATAATTACGTCGTCACAACCTGCTAATCCGTGGAACGAAATGAGCAGGGGGAGAGGGAAGGGAAGCCGTACAAGATGAGAGGAGGAAGGGGGACGGAAAGGAGCAACGGATCGACATGGGGGAGGGGGTGAAGAGGAAGGGGCACGAGGGTGTGCGGAGGGCGACGAACCCGACGTAGGGAGGAGGAGGAAGTGGAAGACGATAGAGGTGTAAGAGAGTAGAGCCCTACCTGTAGGATGACAGTCCAGCGTCCAAGAGGGCGACGACAAAGGGGAATCAACGAAAAAGTGAAATGCTGTGGCGAGGATGCACTGCCATCTCGGTGCGGCCAAGAGCCAGGCACAGGCGCTGGCTGTGAGGCCCCGGCGGCGAAAACGACGTGCTCGCCCCACGCCATCTGTAGCACCAGGAACAGAGCAGAGCTCCCCATATTGGGAACGACTCTTGGGAAGGTACACCGCCATATTTTTTCTCTGGTGCATGTGGTGAGCAGTGGAGCGAGGCCCATTGAGAGAAAACAGTAGCGTAGCGTAGGGCATACTCACAATGGGACTATAATCCCAAATTCCCCCCAAAAAAGGAGGACCGGTCACACAGATTTGCCAAGAAAAAAAAAAAAAAAAAAAAAAAAAAAAAAAATCCTAAATGTACCATTTGTGCGGCCATCTGTCAGCGGCCTGTGTAGCCGCGGGGGGCATGGGAATTTGTGCGGCCATCTGTCAGCGGCCTGTGTAGCCGCGGGGGGCATGGGAATTTGTGACCGCCAAATGCCCTATTTATTTTTTCGCATTTTCTTCGAGTATTGGTGAAAATTCGTTCATGAAAGTTCTTGCACCCAAAAAAAAAANAAAAAAAAAAAAAAAAAAAAAGAAGTTCTTGCACAATTTGTGGATGGTGCCGTGTGACCAACAAAGTACCAAATAGCCATTGCTCCAGACAGCCAGGGCCTTGTCCCATCTGAAAAGGTACAGCAGTGGCGCCGGAACCATGCCCAAAACCTCAAATTGGCCCTTCGGCCCTTCCCAAATATGCATATTTTGCAGATTTGGGGTTGCATATTTTGCAGATTTGGGGTCGCATATTTTGCAGATTTGGGGTCGCAGAGCGAGTATGCCCTTAGTTTGGTGCGGGGTGCAGGGAGGACGCAATAGAGAAAATTAGGCCACCACATGGAAGAAGAAACTACAGTCTTCCCCCGAATACAACGTACGGTCATTATTGCCGAATTGGGTACATATATCAGTCTAAATTCAGCTATAATGACCGTGCGTTCTATCGGGGGGGACGACTGTAGACCACTCGCCTTGAATGGAAGAGTGGCCGTTTTCACGTTTGGTGAGTGGTGCAGTGAGGCCCAAAGAAAGGCTGGGTTGGCTGTAACTACGTTTCTGGTTCTGTTCGGGAGCCACAAGCCACAAGTCGTCGGTTGGGACACCGGTGGTAGTTCGGCGGCGTGCTGCCGGGCAGATTCCTCTCGTTCCCACCGCGGAGTACGGAACGGCTGTATATGTGAAGATAGGGTCCCTCCCCTCTGTTGCTTTGTGCCACGTGGTTATAAGGTTTTTTTTTTTTTGGGGGGGGGGGGGGGGGGGTTATAAGGTAGCCTTGGGCACTGGCTCCGTTGGGACCGGTTAATTTTATTTTTTTAACTACCCTACATTCTTCTCTCAAATCTTTCATCATCTTTCAAATTCTTTCAATTCACCTTCACTACCTACCTACCACTACAACAACACATTCTTTTTTTCTTTTTTCTTTTTTTCTTTTTTTTTCGCTCACGAGACTCCCATCCCACCACTCCTCTCGATATATATCTCCTGGCGCACCCCCACTCCATTTCTATCTTACCTCATGCGAGGAACATTACTCTCTACTGGAGCAACCTGACCAGACAGCGGACGCGGACACTGACGCTGAATGAGCTCCCCCATTCAGCCGCAGTCGAGGCACTAGCATACAAGCCTTGTTATACGGGAACCTCGGGAGCTAGGCACATAGTTCTCAGCTAGTCCCGTGAGGGGTGAGGGCACTCATAGGCAGTGTCTAATGGTCAACTAGCCAAGGTCTTAACCTATGAGTCCCTCTAAGCACTAACCTAGCACAGCTTGGATCATATATGGCTACTGTTTTTTAAGTTGTTGAGTATGCTGGTTGTTATGTGAGCTAATGCGATATCATAGTCTATGTGAAAGTGTGTGGTTGCTTTCTGCTACTAATGAGCCTTGCTTATGTCTGTTCACTAGGGAGAATCAACCAGTGGTAATGGTGGAGACCTCGACCGTCGTCTAACAACTACCCCCAACCTACCTCTGATAACCCACCAACCCGAAATGGGTCCACAGACATTGAGAGTAGGACACACCTCTTGATTCGACATTGGTTTCCCTACAAGGCAACCCTCCCCACCATAGGACTGCCACGGTATCACCATGCACCCAACCAACCCCTTACTACTCACCTGCCCAAGAGAGTAGCATCCATCCCACATCAAYTTTCCCGCAGGAAAGGCACAYGTMCCCACCAGAATCCATCTAGAGGATCATCCCTAGCTGATATGATGAATGAGCATAGTCGGAGTTGAACTCGGGACCTCCAAGTTAATATATCAGAGCTCTACCCACTGAGCTATTGAGGTCGTTGGTCTGTAAGGGTGCTATGCCAGGCTCGGGACAAGTACGTGGGGTGCAACCTACACCAACCAATTGTGCTCAGGGGAAGTTGTGGGCCGACAAAGTCGAACCCACAACCTCCCCGTTGCAACACCGGAGCGCTGCCCACTGAGCTACCACGTACTTGCTTACCAACTGACAGTCTCGAAGGTAAGACGCCAAGCATGCCACATGCACTATCGTCGGGGCAATGGGAGAACACATTCAATTTCATTACTTCAGGCTGACGAGGAACCGGTATATTGGGACTGCCGTAATACCTATAGCTAGGAATGGTTGGATAGTCAGAGATGGGACTAGGACGCTCGATACCATATAGGGCCGTTGTGTCCCGCTAGAAGAGTGTCAGTAAGAATTTGACTCAGTCCTCTGGGCCAAGTTAGTCCCAGAAGTAGAAGTAGGTTAGCAACAGTCTCCCAGGCTTGACAGTATACCTGATGAATTCAAAGGTTATGTGAGTATGGCCTACTTCTTTCAAATATGATAGTTTCTAGTAGTCTCTATTCAGAGAGGATAAATGGGTTAGGATAGAAAGTCTGGTGAAATGACTTTCTGGAGGCGCGAACCTGTAAGCTAAGCTAGCTGATGTTGTCAGATACTCCCGAGTTGAATTGTAAGGTCCCCAGCCTCGTTTTTCTATTGGCAATATATTGAACTGTATTTGGTATTTAAAAAAAAAAAAAAAAAAAACATAGAAAAAAAAAAATCAACACTTGGAAGGAGGTCGAGGGACCTCACAGTTCAACCCGAAGTTATCCCAACAGCATTTGTCGGTTTAACTTATGATGGCATGGAAACTGAAGGAGGCTGCGGCGCCCAGGAGCCGCCCATCACCGACGCTTGAAGACCCGGACAGGGGACCCCACCGCTGTCAAGCACATCGATCCCGCAGGTGAACCCCCCCGCGCCGCGTCATGCAGGATTTAGTAGGACTTTTAACTGAGCGGTGCCGCTTTGATCGAGTGAGTCGGCCATACCTCTCGCAAACCCCAACGACACAATAGGGTCACATGAGATACAACTTAGTTGTCATCATCCCTTCGGTAGGCGTATCCTCGCTAGGTTACCGGACCACATGCGAAAGATTCTCAAGTGCAATCGCAAAGGTAACCTAGCCAAGTGTGTGTTTCTCTTTCTATGTGGCATAGGGGGTACGCACGTTCAAACATCTAAATCAAACTCATAAGCGAACCGTCGCTTGCGGCACTGATCTCCCAAGCGTGATTCTACGTCGGTAGACTAGGACAACCAATCTAACCACGCGATACACTCACAAAAGAAAATAAGTTCAATCCTCATACTCAAATCGCTCGTAGTCCCTTTTTCAATTCAACCCATAACTCTTTGGGTGCTTGAACAAGCAAACGTTGCGCGCGAGACTATGAATAAAAAGCAAGATGACGTAGGGTTGCATCATATTGACTAGCCATGCATGAATACACAAGCAGTTGCAATGATGACAAACTATGTGGTGTCCATTACCATGCGACCCGTTCAAAAATATGAGATCGCATTCAACACGCCGGTTTCGACGAGAGTGAGCGTTAAGGGGTCAGTCCCTTAACGAGCACAGAAGCAGACTGAACACTCTGCCATTTTTTGCATTTTGTTGCGTCCCAAAGCGTACAGGTAAGATGCCGCTGAGGGCAGAAGAGAATTAGAGTGACGGTAAATTGTTTGTTGTACCACAAGCAACACGCTAACCCTTCGACCCATAACTTTGTCGTTCCACCATAATAAAGCTAACAAGTAGACATGAGACTATGTAATTGTTTGAACGCCATGAACGCGCGTTCGCATTCAAATTCACATTTGAACCAGGATTCAAATTCAGTTTTTTATTTTTTTATTTTTTTTAAAGATTCTCTCTCTCTCTCTCTCTCTCTCTCTCTCTCTCTCTCTCTCTCTCTCTCTCTC